CCTGTCTTACTTGCATAATGCGTCTTGCTTTGGCTGATGGGCAGGACAAGGGTACAGGATTACCATAGTTCCTCACATGCCACAGGTCCCATTTCCCCAAGAAATTAGCGTTCCCAAATTGATGTGTATGTCTAAAGTGGAGAAGATGATTTTCTGCCCAGGATAGCTGCAGTGACATTTCTATTCAGGCAATGCTAAGGGAATCAATTCACTGTGTGGCTCATTAGCATCCACTTGAATCCTACTAATTGCTCTTTGTTCCACAGGTGTTAATGATCTGCTCTCCTATTTAATCATCTTCACATTCCATTAATCAAGATAGCCTTTCTTTAAAGAATTTGCAATGCAGCTACTCCCTCTTTGCTTCTTTCACACCCCTGAAAGCTGTTTCTAGCTCTTTTCAAAATCCTAGATCTACCCATGGAGTTTAGTCTTCAGCACTAGCAAAAGGTTCAGTTTTTGGTTGAGCCTCTACGAGCTGCTGACAGTGCAGGCATGAAAAGGTTAAAACTGTAACTTTTGCCTAAGCAGGAAAGGGAAGGTTATGCCCCCAGTTATTTTTTCTGTTATCTTTCCTGCTTGGTGCAGGGAGCTGGACCCAATGATCTTCCAAGGTCCCTTCCAGCCTTGCAATCTATGAAGCTAAGGTGAATGAGCTGCCCTATGCGGCCATAACTATTTTTTCTCTTAATTGTCTTCCTCAAAACAAAGTGTGGATCTTATTTGGTGGGTGTATGGTAAACAGGAACATATGGTATATTATATTAAAAAGCAACCCTCTCAGGATGGGGGCCACTGTGTATATAGGGGTCTTTTGCCAGTGCAGAGATGCAGCCATCTCTGGAGTGGGGACCTCTGTATATACAGGGATCCCTCCCCTGACTTCAGTATTGGGGCCCGGAGGATGTGATGGCACTTTATAGTGTATTTTCCTGTATACAATATGTGCTGGACTATAATCTGCACCTTGTTTTAGAAAGGTGGAATGACTTGTAGCAAGTAGCCAAGTAGCAGCAGCAAGAGAGCTGGGCCTGCTCCTTGTTCTGCTCCCTGCGAATCGCTGCACAGTTTGTATTCACTGTTGCCCAGCAAGTGGCAGGACCTGTTGTTACTATATTCTTTGCATATAATGCACACTCCGATTTCCTACGGCTGGTTTACGGGAGGTGGGGTAAAGTTGCATGGGCATATAACAAATACGTTATTTTCATTTGGGGGTCGGACTTGAAGATCTACAAGGTCCCTTCCAACCCTACTTCTATGATTCTATGATTTTTGCCCAGTAAGTGGATGAAACTGTTCTTATCATATGCCTCACATAATGAGCACTTCAGTTTTTTGCTGCTAGTTTTTTGCAGAGAAATGTGTGTGGATGTGTGAAAAATACAGCATTTTCACTTTTGTCTGGTAAATGGCAGAAAATGCTCTTACTGTACGCCTCACATATAATGCATGTTCCATTTTCCTCCTGCTGATTTTTGTGGGGAAAAATGCATGTAATGTCTGAAAAATATGGTATTTTCACTTTTGCCCATTAAGTTGCAGAAACTACTTTTACCGCTTTCCTAGCATACAATGTCCTCTCCAATTTCTCTACCAGCTGTGTTTTGAGGGGAAAAGTCTGTGTTGTATGTGAGAAAGTACAGTATTTTCACATTTGCCCTGTGAGTGGCAGAAACTGCTTTTACCATATTTCTTGCTTATAATGCGCCCTCCCATTTTCAGCTTTTTTCTGGTGGGAACAAAACCATGCAAAGTACAGAGGTTTTCTTTTTTCTGACATTAAGATGCAGCTAACTCTGGGGTAGAACAGTTCCCACTAATGTAGTCTCCTTGCCCTCCCTGCCAGCCTGCAGCAGCGACTACATGGAACCAGACTCCTCGGGAGCCCTGGCCCCAGTGCCAAACAACGTCCCGCACTACGCCGAAGCTGACATCATCAACCTGCAAGGGGTGACAGGAGGGAACACCTATGCCATGCCAGCTGTGGCTGTGGACGCACTGGCAGCCAAGGATGTGGCCCTGGCTGAGTTCCCCCGCGGCCGCCTCCGCTTCAAGGAGAAACTTGGGGAGGGGCAGTTTGGGGAGGTATGGACCTCCCTCACCCTTCTCCTGCCAGCCTTTCCCTGCCCCCTTGTCTCTGTTCCTCTCTCCTTTTTTTTTCCTTCAGCTGCTCAGACATTGCTTCATCCATCCAGATCCGTTTGCTGTGCTTTCATTCCTTCATTCTTTTCCTTCCATTTTTGTTCTTTCCTCTTTTCTTTCTCTTTTCTATTTGCTTAGTTGTTCATTCATTCTTCTGTTTGTGCTCTTCTCTTTTCATTCCTTGATTGTTCCTTTCTTGTGTTCGTTTGTTCATTCGTATACTTGTTCTTTCCTTAGCACGTTTGTTCAGTCATTTGTTCTGTCATTCTCTTTTCTCTTTTTTCATTCAATATTCTTGTACAGTCTTTCCTTCATTAACTCCTTAATTTGCTCTTTCAATCATTTGTGTGTTCATTCTATTATTCCTATGTTCACTGTTTTACTCATTTGTTCATTCATTCTCTTGTTCTTTCACTTTTCTGTTAATTATGTTGTTCATTCCTTCATTCGTTCATTAGTCCGTTCTTGCATTTATAACTTCTTTTGTTCACTTGTTTTTTCATTCATTATTTTTATATGTTCTTCCTTCTATTTATTCACTCCATAATTTCTTTCATTCATTTGTTAGTTCATTCTTTTGTTCTTTCTTTTTTGTTCATTCTTTTGCTGTTTCATTCTTTCATTTCATTCATTCTTTTTCATTAATCCTTATTCGTTTTCATTCATTTTTTGTTCATTCTTTCTTGTATTAATCCACTCCTTAATTTCCTCTTTCTTTCCTTCATTCACTTGTTCATTCTTTCTTTCCTGTCCTTTTTCATTCATTTATTTTTGTTCATTCATTCATTCATTCATTCATTTTGTTCATACTTCCACTTATTCACTCTTTAATATGGTTTTTTATTTATTCATTTGTTTCGCTACTTATTTCATTCCTACATTTTATTCATTCTTTCATTCATTTATTTAGTCACTTTTTCATTCTTTTATTCTTTAACTTGTTTACTTTTTCATTCTTTTGTTCTTTCATTCTTTTTTTTATTCACTCATCCTTATGTTCACTTGTTTCTTTTTATTCATTACGTTTTTAATTTTTATCACTCATTCAGTCCTAATCTGTTCTCTCATTACCTCCTTTATTTACTCTTTTTTTATTTGTTCATTTGTTTCTTTTTTATTCTTATGCTCTTTCATTCTTTTGTTTATTATTTTGCACATTCATTCATTGATTCATTCTCTTTTGTTCATTGCTTCATTCATTCTTTCATTTTTTTTATTTGTTCTTTCAACAGTTTCTTTATTCCCTTGTTTATT